TGTACTTCACACCCAAAAAGGATTTTATTTGTTTTTATTTGTGGGTCATAAATCTGATAGTGTGCATATTAGTTTGTTAGGGTAGTTATTTATTCTCTTAAAAAGATATGATAAATTTGTGTGTGTTTCAGATCATAACAGATCAATCATGTCGCTTGCACAAGGAGCTCCCCTTTTATCAAGACTGGTGTCGTCATCTGTTGCCATTGCAAGCCAAGCAGGGCATGTTATACGAGAAGTCATGAAGAAGGGAGACCTGGGCATTGTGGAGAAAGAGGTGAAGAATTAACCAAGCTATCTGTCTGCATGTGTGTTTCTCTGTCTATCTATCAATTTGTCTATTTATCTGTCTGTCCATATATATATGTATGTACAAATATATGTACATATACATTTTTATAATGACTGATAAGTATTGATGACACTGATTTTTACAAAACACTTATTGTGTAGTATTATAGCTTAGATTCCGAAATCTATATAATTCAAGCAAAGTTTTTCACAACAGAGTGTACGAGATCTTCAGACAGAAGCTGATCGTGCTGCCCAACGATGCATCATTAGTTCTCTTAATAAATGCTTCCCAAAGATAACCATAATTGGTATGTCTGTAAACTGATTTTGGTTCATCTTATAGTACTAAAAGTTTTGGAAAAAATGTCTTATGAATTTTTATATATCTGTTGCTAGTATGTCATATATTTTATTGTGTATGAGACCTCTGTACTGATATTTAAAAATTGTTGAAATTTTACCTTATTCTTATATTGGCAGAATGAGAATAGCAGTTATAGCAGTTGAGCAAGATGCTGTTTTATTTACATAAAAAAATTGAGGAAGCATATACTCTTGAGCTTTATAGGAAAAACATTTAGTTCATCATATATTGATGATAACTAAATGTGATCATATATTCTTGCTTTTTTCTTAGAAATTTCAAATGATCCTCCTTATACGATAGTACTCTCATCAGATATTTTTTTGCAAACAATAATTTTTGTTTATGTATTTTTATTTTAAATATTGCATATAAAGAAAATTTATTTTTCCATAGGTGAGGAAGGAGAAGATGAGACGACGGTAGCAAGTGGAAGTATTTTTGATCCGTCAACTACATCGTTGGTTGATGTCACATGCCCACCTCACTTGTCGTCTATGGCAGAAGAGGAGGTTGGTGCAGCTGTTTGTTCTCAGCATGGGGGGCCTCTGAATGTTAACTTTTTGTATTTATTTTTTTGTATATTCTTTCAGTTATTTGTCTGTTTATTAATTGATTTATTAATTTATTTAGAATTTCTTTGGGTTTGTCCTTGTTGTCAATGCTGCCAAAGGGATTATTTAAGCGTGATTGATTTCTTTTTTCTTCCTATCAGTTTCTCCATATCACAAAAGGCAATGAAATCTATTTCTTCTGCAGGTTGTAGTTTGGGTAGATCCTTTAGATGGCACTGCAGAGTACACACAAGGTTGGTAGCCTTTCTGTTTGTACTTTTTTTTCGATTTATGGCTACTGTACTGCATACACACACACGCTTATACATAGGCACAAAAGTAGACATGCACACATATGTACATACACTCATAAACTCACACACCTGCATATGCACAGATAGATGTGCAGCCAACCTGTACTCTTAGATGCAAATTTAGTTGTCTGTTTTAGGCAAAATGAATATTGATCGAGGCAGGTAATGTATTGATAATGAAAAAACGAAAAAACACTTAAGGACCAGAAGTCACATTGGGCAAGTTTACTCGTGACATATCCCAATTAAAAAATTTTCTCTGCATTTTGTGTGAAGGTATTTCCTTCTCGTAAGATAAAATTTAAACTCAGTTAACTGCTATGGGGGTTTATATATTGCTGCTTGTGTTGTGTTGTGTTTCTTTTTCCTAATCTAAAGCTTCCTGTGGAAAGATAAGAGTGATATCATCTGAATTGAATACAATAAATGCAGCTTTCGTTGTAGTACAAAGTGCTTAGGCCTTGGCATTATTTGCTGTTGGTATTATTCATGATGATTATCATATCCTTTTTGTTGAGATTGCATTGGGCAGATAAAAAGAAGAAAGCTGTTGGAAATGGTAATGACTGGCAATAAGAAAGTATAAACTAGGATGAGAGATGAATAGACAGATAAACAAAGACACCTTTGTATTTTGAATAAAAGTATATTAAAAAAAAAAAAGATCCACTGAAAGTTTCCACTCATTATTTTCTTTCTTTGTAACAGAGAAAGCATTAACTGGATATTACTTTATCTGCTTCTTATGCAACCTACTGTTCATCGTCTTGTCCACCTCTGGCAGTTAAACTACCCTGATATATATATGTTCCAGGTACTAGTAATCCTTTTGAAAAGGTCTGTTATAATTAGTTTTGTACATAGATGTTACTGCTGCTTTGTTCAGATAATAAGTGTTAATATTCAGTGTCTCTAATGTCTTGCTTTTTGTGGGATCAATACTAATGTTGTGGCCATTGCTAATTAAATTGTTT